GGGGAAATTCAACTCTCTATCCCTCTCGAAATGCTCTCAAGTGGCCACGTGCATACAATCACTGCCAGGGAAGTCCTACTCACTGCATTCTCGTGACAGGGGTGTTGTTTACGAAATTGAAGACAAAAAGAGAAGGTCCAGTGCTTTAAACGGGTTGTTGGATATGGAGGATCCACGCAGGAGAGTTCGAAAACCTTCTTTCCAAACCATTGGTGTACATAGCCTCCAGGATCCTAAGGAAACAAATGGCGTATGAACCAACTGTTGGTCACCGACTACCATGAGACTGCATCTCCTGACGTTGTTCCATTGACTTGTGGATTGGACCTTCAGGTCAACTTTTAAAGTTCATAAATCAGTTTCATACAAATATTTGGTTTTATCATTTAGTAAATTTCATAGTGAAATTTACTTTAACTCAAATAATAATCTCATTATTTTGCTGAATTAAATAAAATGTTTTGTTACCTATTAGTAATGACATTTTATAGTTTACATGACAATCTTTCAAAATCTGGGAGCAATAAACAGCCAGTTAATTTTAGAGTAAGACTTCAGAACATTGTGCATGAACAGCCACACTGAGGATTAAACCCACAGCCCTCTATGTACCGCAGCTAGCGCCTATCGTTTTGACGAGTAAACCAGTACCCAATGGTCTGTTTACATATCTCGCTGCAACCAAGCTGCGACATTCCGTGACCATCTTCCAATACCATTGGTAGGTGACAGTCTCAGATCTGGCACATTCGAACTCTATTTTTTACAGCTTAGAAAGACTGAGCCTATTTCTACCAATTTCCTTACAACCATCTAAGATCAATATCATAATTAGTTTTTATATGATATCTATCCATTTATCACATGTTTATCATTGTTATTTTGCTTCACTTTAAGGTATGTCAACAAATTTCATAGTCGCTGTTCCATTGAAAACAAATAAGCCTCAAGCATATTGGATTGAGATGGGTGCAAGTTTACTATGTGAATGTGTAAATCCCTAAGTAAAACAATCTTCAATCGGACAATCAATCATAAAAACAACTTATGTTGATGTATTTAATCTGATATTCCACTTTTATTTACTTAATAACTACGTAAAACATTAATATGATCCTGTTTTATTACTTATCATCTTCAACTATAAAATATTACTTTTCAAATCCCATCTGTCCATACGATTTAAATGAACAGTCAACGACGTTATGGACTAATATCATGTCTTTATTTGGTCACCTACATCTTCCTCCTCCTTTACTGTTATGCTAGCCAGTGTAAGATAGAGTAGGTTGTGGTTAACCGTAGGTGACACATGTTCCAACTACCTTAGTCGATGAAAGTTTACAACTTCGTTAGCTAACACGTCCTCACCTAGTATACAATACTTGATCCAAACACCAAAAATTCAGCCGTCATCATCCAGGAGCAATGTTCCGAAAATATTTGTGACAAAATAATACTAACTTAAGTACGTCTTGGAGGCTTGACTATAATCTACCATTCACGATGTTGATGGATCGTGAAGAAACTGAGTAATTGAAAATCAGTTGAACTAGCTTTCAAAGCACTTTATGGATAGTGAAATAACTACATATACGTTTCAAAGATAGCATAAGCTAACAAAACAGAATTGTAGTCCCGTGGAGTGAAACCTGACATTCAGAACATCAACATGTACCTTCTGGTTCGATTACAGGAGTAATATTTCGTAGGCTTATAACGCAAAAACTAGCCGCACGTGTGGAATAGCAGGTTAGAATTGGTTAACAAGGGATGGCGAAGGAATGCTGCTGGAACAAACAGGTTTCTCAACCAATACAGCCCTACTGTATCGTCAGAAAAGTCAATACCGATTATCGCGTCGAAGTACCAGCCATAGTAGGGTACACATCCTCATCTACAGTCACACTTTTATTAGTGATAAGCCAACACATAAACTAATACCTGTTGATTAAGTAGTTCGACTTCGTGAAACACTTTAAACACATATGGAAAGCGAGCTCTCGTAGTCAAATATAATTTCTGTTATTAATAATCCTTCCTCAATAGATTGACTACGTAATATTTTTCGCGTGGTTTACTATCGATCATACGAAAATTATTTTGAAACCTGATCGATCTACCTCCAGTGCTGAAATCTTGTAGTAACACTAACTTTCAGATACCAACCCATTGGTTGTATCCATCAAATTCAAGCAATCACCTACGTATTGAGAAAAACATCACTTTGAGAAGTATCTACCAAGTCAATCTTCTCCATTAATATAATTCATAAAGACCATCTAAGAGATCACTTGAGTCTTCACGGTTGTTATACACAGAAAGAAACAATCATCCTGTCACTATTCGGATAGAAAGAACTCAGCATCAAAGCAATCATCACTAGAACTAAGTTTGCATTTTGATTAACATTATAGTATCTTCTTCACTCCAAACATTGTTACAGATTGTTAATTAAAAGATATCTCTTGTTGCATTCCATGAACTACGAGTTAATACCCACCGAGAAAAAAGGTTAGGTAGGATAACATAGTTTTATTTTACCCCATTAGGTTTTTGTCAGCTACTTAATTACGATTTGAAATATTTCGAAAGCAGAATTTCAAATGAATTTGACCAGAAATTATTAACATGTATCAGTATGTCGTAGCAGGTTTAAATACAGTCAAGAGGACTAAATATTTATGTAGCCTGCCCCCAAATTCCCTGGTATGGCCGAGAGTGGGGAGAGTTTACTCTCCCTCTCGAAATGCTCTCACATGGCCATGCGTATATAGCCTCTGTCAGGGAAGTCCTACTCACTGCCTTCTCGTGGCATTACTGTTGTTTACGAAAATGAGAGGACGAAAAGCGAATGTCAGGCACTTTAACCGGATCCCAAACCAATGGTGCACATGGACTCTAGTATCCTGCGTGAAGAAATGGCGTGTGAACCAATCTTGGTCACCGGCTTCCATGGGACTGCATCTCCTTACGATGCTCCACTGCCTTGTGGGTCAGACCTTTAGGTCGAAGGCTCTGTGTGTGGCCCCCTAAGAAAACCATCTGCTTCGGTTTGGGCACCCGGGCAGTATCACGGCCCACACACATATCGAATGAGATCTGTGTGGCGCACATGTATTTGGAACCTCCTTGTACCAATATCTATGTGCTAAAATAAAATAATAAATTATGTAGCCTGTGAACTACGATTAGACTAGAGTTTTTAGTTAAATTATTCCATAGAAAGCTAACTCCTTGAAAAATGCTTTGATTTTAATTACCTTCATCGTCGTCTATTCCAGTGTCAAATTCTGAGTACAGCTTATAAAATTTCGACTGACAATCTCGAATTCTTCGATAAAATTGCAAAAACTGCTGGCGGGAAATATGCAGTAACTCCAACTTCCAATACAAAAGTGACCATGGTGAGATCATATCTTGAAATAAAACAAGAAAACATCCATATTTACAATTCCTGCTGAAACTAAACACAGGATAATCCTGCATTTTTAGGCTACATCAAGAGCTCTAGATATACTTTAATTTCATATACCTCACGGGCAATGTGCTCGAAACATCCTAACTGAGGGCTAATAATGACGCAGGTTTGTAAATTTAGTTAAAAACACAAGGATGAAAGTAAAATCCTTTGTTGTATCAAATGGATAGGAGTGCAATCAGTTTTCCACTAAGTTTCTTATTATTTATTTATTTAAACACATAAACATTGGTACAATGAGGCACCAAATACATATGCGCCACACAAATCTCATTCGATATGTATGAGGGCTGGGATACTGACCGGGTGCCCAGACTGAAGCAGATGGTTTTCTTAGGGGGCCACACACAGAGCCTTCGACCTAAAGGTCTGATCCACAAAACAGTGGAGCATCGTAAGGAGATGCAGTCCCATGGAAGCCGGTGACCAACGACTGGTTCATACACCATTTCTTCCCACAGGATACTGGAGCCCATGTGCACCATTGGTTTGGGATCCGGTTAAAGTGCCGGACATTCGCTTTTCGTCCTCTCATTTTCGTAAACAACAGTAATGCCACGAGAAGGCAGTGAGTAGGACTTCCCTGACAGAGGCGATATACGCGTGGCCATGTGAGAGCATTTCGAGAGGGAGAGTAAACTCTCCCCACTCGGCCATACCAGGGCATTTGGGGGCTTTCCACTAAGTGGGATACATGAGCGATGCGCTGATTCATTTGAAATGTAATCACAGAGCAACTATTAGTACAATCAGGACTAAACAAACCAATAAATACAGATGAACTAAACCCTAATTCGCTGAGTACACTGTTAATACAGACTACTACTACTAGTAGTGTAATAATTCTTTGTGGGTGCTGTACACTATAGAAACAACTTATTTGTGAAAACACATACCACCTCCTTGCCGCCTATCAAACGAGTGAAGACAATATTTTTTGATAAACTGAACCTATCGAACGCTACGAGAAATGTATCTTTTAAGGAGAAAAATGTAGTTGAATTAGACATCATTGTTAGATTAAATAATTTGTAATTTATACCATCCAATAATAACTTTCGAAGATCTATTGAATAAATGCTGCCAGTTTATTCATGGAGTACAAAACACACACACACACTATATATATATATATATTACACAAGTTAATGAGAAATATATGATGACTGATGAATTTTAGCTGAGAATGAATTCATAGAAGAAAAATATAGGAGGATAAACATCTAACAGTTTTACTTATTCTATGCAAAGAAAACTAAGTGCCAAATACAATGAGAACGAACAGTCATAACAAAGAAATTGTAACAGGAATATATATATATAAACATGAAGTAAATAGATACTCTGAAATAATAACAGAAAAGACATAAAAAAACTAGAAAGTGTCAAATTATAAAACCTTTTATTATACATATATTTAAATATTTTATGATTAAAAGAGCTGTACACATATTCTGATGGATAATGAACTTAATTCAAACCTGTACATATATATTGTATACTGGAGGGGTTTTCTTAATTATGCAAAAGCATGTACATTTAATAGTCCAGTAGTATCACAGGTACTACTATCGTTTATGACATTACTATCTTCATCTTCATAATCTATAGGACTATCTTCATCTTCATCTTCGTCATCATCATCATCATATACAACAATATTCCACTCCTCTGTTGGAACATCTTCTTTATCTACAGCAGATGGATCTTCTAATTCTATACCTGGTGGGAGTTGAGCTTGTACTTCTTCCCTGTCCATTACACCTTCTTCATGCATAACAAAATCAGTATCGTAATCTTTATACCAAGCCGGAAGACGACGTGCTCTAGACATACGACGATTAGTTGTATTGCTTTCGTTTAAAACACCAACACCACCTGTACTACCTAGAATTTTTATTAGTGAATCGAATCAAAATATCAACACTTACCTGAAGTGTATTCTTCATTGCCTTGTACTTTACGAGTATTGGATTTTATAAGAGTAATAGTACGTCTAGTAACGTCTAAAAAGATCATATGACAATTGAATAAATGCATAATATGCAAGAGACACTAAAATGAATATTGTAGATAAAGATTCAGTAAAGTATGCTGTCAAAAATTTTATTGCTTATAATCAGTAGGGGTTCTTATGTTGCTGGATAAATAAAAACCTAACGGGATTTAATGTAAATTATTTACCAAGTACAAGTTTATCCACTCGGTTTTGATGTACATTATTTGAGGGTTATTCATGTTACCGGACTGAGACTAAACTAACGTAGGTTTCACAAAAAAAAAACATTTAGGATACACGGACATTGTAAGCTGTAGAGTTAGCCTTTCGAACTTATATTTGAACAGGATTTTTATATTTTAACATTCCTGGATTGATGGATTGTAAAGGAATACCGGTAAAAGTCAATATATAAAGCATATGGACAGACCTAGTGCAAAACCATATATCGATTGAAGTGTTTAAATCTCATTTGAAAGAACCGATAGGATATTAACAGAAAGTAAAATTAACAATAGTGCTGATAATACAGAACTAATTTGTAAAAGCAAAATAAGCAAGTGAATGGAAGAAAAAGACACCGACTCAAGAGAAAGTATTGAAAATTTCGATCGACTTCAAGTTATATTCCTTTAGTCCCTAACTAATGTTTCGGTTGTTTGATAGGGGAGTGGTCAGAACATTTGCATCCTTCTGAACGGCCCCTGCTAATAGCTAGTGATTGATACCATGTATTCGTCTAGCCACGTTTGACGTTCTCTAATATACTTCTGTGCTAGTAAGTAAGAAGGACCAAATCATGTTATGACTGATATTTCCTATGTACCCAAGTTTAGTTTAGTTTAGCTTTAGATTACACTTAGACGTAAAGCCTATGATACTACCTAGCTTTCAAAATCGAAGTATGTAGGTAATGTTTGAGCCTGACGCCCACTAGTTGAGATTTGAGTGATTCAAAAGCCCAACTACCATTCCGGTGAAATAAGAAATTTGTAACACTTGACTAAGTCGATTAAGGCTTACAACTTCATTAACCAATTTACCACTTTTACCTTGAACTGTAAGTCTAACCGTGAGTCCCACCATTGGAAGGATAAGCTTCAAAGACAAGTGTAATTGAATACTAGATATCATATTTTGGATTCTTGAATACGTAACGGATTTCTAAGCAATATACTTGTCGTTTGAAGGATAGTTATATCACTTGTATCGCTATTGGCGAACAGATCATAGTAAACAATGTCAGACGTATTTGAACACAACATTAAGGTAACAGTTATTATAGATACACATCAATAATACAATGTATATAAAATAATTAAGGGATAAAAAAATTGATCATGTAGAAAATAGACTTACTACCATCTACACCAACATCATCATAAGTATCATCTTCATCATCAGCCATGTCATCATCTCCCTCGCCATCACCAGTTTCTGCATCCTCATCATCTTCGTATCCATCAACAAGTCGATTTCGCTTGGACAACTTTAGCTTTTTCCGTTTTGTGTATGAGTAACGAGCAGGAGGAAGTTCAAGTCCAACATCTTCCCCATCTTCTTCCTGACGTCGATGCTGATCATGATGTCGATCTAACAACATTATCGAATTTGTTGTGAATTCACAATGGTTATATCGACATTTCAGGCGACCAACAGCTCCCCTCGATTGACGAGCGTTTCTTTCTTCAGCGTGCATACTTCGAATGTGCATATCTAAGTCTTTCTTAATCTCGAAAGTGGATTCACAATAACGACAAACGTGGCGACGATTAACTTTCAAAGCGTGAGCCCTTGTAATATGATGATTTAGTTGATTGAAACCTGGGAATCCGCGTTCACCACATACAGGGCACGATATGATTTGACTGCCTTCGTGGGCTTTTACATGAGCTTTCAATGATGCCACATCACTGACATAGGCATTACATGGTAAACACCGAAATTTAGTTTGTAGAGTACGAACAATACGGCAGCTTCTTGTATGCTTATTCAGGTTATATATGCTATCGAAGGTAACTGCACAACCCAAACACTCTAAAGCCAACTAGTTAAATTATACTATTATGTATACTATATAGCTCACCTGTGAAGATGCCATCATAGCGAAATGTTCCCGAAGTTCATGTTCTCTTGTTCGAAGATGAGCAAGGTAAATGTCATAAGATGAAAAAGCTTTATTACACGTGTCACAACGGAATATCTTGTCCCGGTGAATATGTCGATTTCGATGAGTTTTCATATTTGCTTTCTGAGCAAAACGTTTATTGCAAACATCACAAACAAAAGGTTTTTCTCCTGTATGTGCCCGTTTATGATGTTCCATTGTCCCACCATTATTCGTCATATAGTTACACTGGTCACAATGAAATTTGAAATTGGCCGGATTTCGTTTTGGTTTTTTAGGATCAACATGACTGCGTCGAGCGTGCAGAAATAACTGACTGAGAGTTTCGAAAAACTCCTCACATTGACGACATGTGTAAACTTTAACGAAATGTTTTTCGCGCATATGTTTAGTAAAAGCGTTAGCATTAGCATACATAGCTGGACAAGATGGACAACGGTAAGTAACACCACTAGATTGCCCTGTTAAAGCAACGAAACCAGGTCCTATACCTGATGCATCATAGTATGCTTTAGAATTCGGATCCCAAAGTTGCATTTGATCTGCTGGTAACTCGATGACCTGAGCCCCTTCCATACCAGGATCTGTGAACTAAAAGGTATTATGCGTTGAAAATATTGGAAGATTACCTGTAGATATTCTGTTCCATTCTCAGCAGCAATAGCTGTAACAGCACCCGAAGCAATCAGACTTTCCAATGTCGCTGTGTCATCAGCAGCAATTAGAACCATTTCTTCACCTTCATTGGACAAACCCATCTCATTTAGCTGCAATACCACTTGCCCATCTTCAGTCTGACTGAACGGTATGGCTGTGTATGTACCATCAGCATTTGCAATGTACGCTGATGGTTCATTAGGATCAACCATTTGGTCTGACATAGTTTGGTGTTTACAATATCCTGTTTAAAAGAGAGGAAAACTAATGAAGCACAATTATATTTTCCCATGTTTAGGAAACGTTTAACGAGCGTAACACATCTAGAACAAACTTTTTGATAACAAGTAATATAACTAGTCATGCGATAGAGAAGAGTACCAATGTTGTGTACTAACGGTTAACATGTCTGCATCGTTTATCACGAAAAATTCGTAAATAATTGAAACAGTAATGGTGTCCAAGTTGTATGAACCCCATTGGAAAATTAAATGATAAAAATCCCTCGAAAAAAAACGAGCTCGAAAAATCAAAATTATAAAACGATGCTAAATCTGTGATCAAGGTTTTACAGATGGGGTAATGTTTGAACCTGGATGGCTGAAAGTCGGAAGCCTTAACCAGTGTCACCACTCCACGATTTCATATCTTGGAGGCTGTGGTTGTTCATTATGGTGACGTAGATGATCTACTCGATTCACCTCAGCTGAAAATGGGATACAAGATGACAACTATGATAGATGTTATTATCAAGTGTAATGACGCAGCACTTGCTAGATGTAAACAGTATCATAAGCCAAACTCACTGATTTTGTGGATTCTGCCACTTCATCAAGTCGATTGATTCAGGAGACAGTCAACTCGCTTTCGACAGGGAAACTCTTGAAAGCGTAAGAACATCGTTTTCGACAAAGATATTGGTGTTCTTAGAGGATCAACACTGAGTATTTTAAAGGATACTCTGATTTCTATCAAACAAGTTAAACGTTCAGCCAGAATGTAATGAATATGGGTCCCTCAATCAAGCCTCACAGAACTCTAGGATGTAGACCATCCTAAAACGAAGCCGATCTAGATCCAAATGCAACAGTTGTTGGTGAGAAATGTTAGGGGGTGTGGAAAAAGTTAATGGTTGCTACCAGTCAATCAGATGACAACCATCCCAATAAGATGATAAAATCTGGTGAACAGAAAAGGCTGATACTAGAATTAGTGGACGAACTAGTCTTCGATTTTGGCGCGAAATTCATTCATCCAAATAGAACTCTGACATGATAGCTGGTGTCAGTTAGTAATGAAAACCGAAGATCTAATTTCTAACATTAACATTCGACTGTAAATCTCAATCCTAATTCTTCACACTAATTTATCACCCTCATTTGGCCCTAGAAAATAGGTAACGTTTTCAGTATCACTTAAGCATCACTCAACGATCGTCCGTACACGAATTTTACTCAGAAAAGTATGTAATATTATTGTTTGTAAAAATCCGTAGTTCAACGACTTATTGAACAGGCATAAAACCACTTAGAAACGGGCAAGTTAAACAGGAGCACTTTATCGTACAAAGCTTTGGTTGGAAGCATAAAAAACTAACTACAACGGACAATAAATCAGACTAGGATGTTGATTCCAATCCGTTAATTTCAAAAAGTGAGAGGGTAAAGTCGATTACTGTCACTCGACGCTGATAAACCCAGTAAAGCTGTCAAGAGTAATACTAATCTTTTCCGAAAACAGAAAAAGAATGACAGTGGTTACGAGCCAAATTAGGACTTAACGTTACACATAACTTACATCGCCAAGTCAAACAAAGAATCATCGTGAATGCTACAGTATATCTTCAGAAACATACAAGGCCGTGTGACACCCACACTAGTATGATTATACGTCAAGCATGAGTAAACCATATACCAATCGATCCTCCCACCCATCACCAAACACATTAAAATAGTAATTAAAACAACAAAAACCACCTTCAACAAACAAACAAAATGGCGGAAGTCCAAAGTGGGTTTCCTAAGAGTGTTAATACATTAAAACAAAACCGGCTCAAATTGTAAAAGGTGCCATGGTAACAATTTTTTGCAGGGTTTGTAATGTTTTGCATTTTCATGAAACATATGCACTCTTGGCAGCGATTTATTTATCGAGTAAGGAGTGAACTTCGTCTTCTCGAAAGAGAAACTGGCCAGGTCTGAAATCCAGGTTCTTGCCGTGTTGTGACGGGATGAAAGGTCAAAATTTTAGTGATTTATTCATTATAATTTTTGTTCCATATTAATCCCGTTTAATTCAACTTTATAATCACTCAGCATAGTATATGATTCGTCATCGCCTATGACATTTTATTCTGTATAACATATGATATTCTTGTATGAAATATTCATATACGTTGTTCATTATGGTTATTAATTAAAAATGGGTGTATAAACCAGTATATTAACTGGTGTGTTTCCGACCAGGCGGGTCGGGATTGCTCATGCTTCTGGATACTTTCGGAATATACTTCGTCGTTTCAGACTTCGATTTCTCTCTCTAGTTAGCGGGGCCGGGATGCATCAGATTATTTAGCTTATTGGTCTTTGGTCACAGAGTCTTTGTTCTGTCTGCAGATTGGGTGAACTCATAGTCGCTTCAAACATAGCACGCTGTGAGATTAAATTATGATTTAATTGGAAAATCAGTATCGCGCAAACAAACCGTCAGTTGCAACTTATGAAGGGGTCGAACGATGCTCGTATCGAACTTCCTTAAGTTGGCTACGGAAAGACAATTAGAAAGAAAACGGTTATAGTTGGATTGAGATGTGCGTTACACCTTGGAAGGAAGTAGTAAATATCCGCAGCCAAACGTTTTCATCTTTAAATGTCCGCTGAAAATAAAGGTAGCATTAGTATTAGGAACTTACATAATCATTCAACTTAGAAATCACTCCATCAAAATAACGAGTGCATTTTTCAAGTTCTGGCTTATAGACATATTTACTTGATTACAGAAAGTGGTCCTATATAATGATACTTTTAGTTACTGCTCACAGTTATTACAATATTAGGTCAATTCAGTTGTCGGCTGACAGTTCGCAGCAACGCCAAATCAGACTGGTCTAAAGTAAATCTCTAGAGCTGGTTACGAAAAGCTTGTTAAGCACACGAGAATGACAATGACAATAATTGAGACAAGATTTACTTACACACACCGTACAATAGCAGCTAGTACATTACGGTCGAACTTGTTTAAAACGTCCCTTCACTTATACAGCTGACGGAGCAAACCACAGTTATTTTGTATATGACCCTAAACTATAGATGGAACCAAGCAGTTATAAAGATTGTTGAATTTAAGGTGGTGCTTTTTCTCGTAAAGTTAAGGTTTGTCACGGAGATTACAGTCTTTCTGTCACCCAATAAAAGAAAATTCCTAAGAGAGGTGGCGTACTGACTACTAGGCTTGTTCGGCGCCTTCGAATTCTGTTGATTGTTAGGCTATAATTTCATGTTAATTACTGTCATGTTGCAAAGTGTACAAAAATAGGTCATGTAGGAAAGTATTTACTACCAAGTTTACCTTACCAGAATTCAGCCATCCAGTAACCTGCCACTGTGGCGTTTATACTGTATTCAGTTGCTTTTTTGGTTATCTTGATAACAAATAAAAGCGAGGTTGCATCTATCGCTTGCTGTGTTTGGCGACAAGGTAAGCTCAGGGTTCGGAGACTCTGATGTTATAACAATTCTACTGTCCGTTCAACTGTAGAAAATGACTTGGCAAACAACTCAGCAACCAATTAAACTGTTTATACATCAGGTATATTCTGAGGCATTGTGTAGTAAATAGAGTGGTTTGGTTATAGACAAACAAACGAAATTCATACACCGCTCACTGAAGGAAATATAGCACTCACACAAAATAAAGAGATAACATCTGCAAACGCATATGTTACGTTTTCTTTCTAATAGTAAGTTGCATCACTTGATTCTTCAGGTAAGTAATAGAGTGCCGCCAAGTTACTAGACTACAGTAGATCGCATCTCTGACGTAGGTCACTTAATGCGGATACTACTGGAAAGCAGAGTTGAAGTAGTCAACCAATTTGAGCAGGTAAAATAGAAGAGTTGTGAACTAAGATGACAGTCGCCAGAATCAGACTATATGCGAAACGAAATTTGTTGTCAAATAGGAAATAACAGTAGAATTTATACAATTTGTGAAACAGTCGTGAGCAAACATGAGCGTTACCAATGTCATGGACCAAAGATTAAATATGGTCCGCGAAAATGGGTGAATGAGAATGATAAGTCACTGTTAAAGAATAAGCAAACTTTGATGTTATGTACGGAGCGAGTAAAGCAGGGATTCTTTCATTGATAAGCATAAACACAAGTGAACAGAGAAAAATCTTACATGAGTTGTTAAATGGATGGTCATGAGTTATTAAAAGACAACGGTGTATTTCTGAATGTTCGAATTTAAATTGGACATTTTGTGGCAGATAGAGAATGCAGGCTAAAGCATGGGTAACAAATAACAGTCCTAAACATTTAATTATTTCCGATGGATACGGGTTGCTACGTGAGGATAAACATGTATTTGAACATCTGTGAAATGTATATAAATTAAAAGTAAGAAGTACGACCGCTTCCCCGATGGCTCATTTAGATTACATAATGAGTAGCTGTAACTCATTCAGTTGGAAAACACCCCGAAGCGATTTGTGTTTTGACGTTTTTACTCACAACATAACTGTCAAAAACGTTAATTGTCCGTAATTTTTCATCACAACACACTGACAACTGCGGTACCCGCGGATGTAGAATGATGACTATGGATCTCTGTAAAACCACTCCCGATACTCATTCCCATTTCCTGTTAGGTTCTATTTTTGAGCCCGATATCTGCTACGGATCACCGGCCAGTCTCTTTGATATGACCCCTTTCTTTTGACATGGAGATTATCAAGTATGGGCTTTTTCTGCAACGAGGATTTATTCCTTCATCAAACATATCTTATCAACCTCCAGTATCTTTTCTTAACTTCTTTCTCTTTTGGCATCCGGTTTGTTCTCTGACAGAGTATGCTATTACTGATGTCCCCTGGTCAATGAATCTGTGGTATCTTGCATGGGCAGTTGGTCGGAGATATCTACATCTTTTTGGTGATGTTGGTCATTGTTATGGTGCTTGATGTATGAGATTGAGGCTAATAAGTAAAATTCTCATATGC